TATGCCAAAATCACTTGTCTCTGCTGGGCCTTGATGAGTCCTTGCATCAGTGGACAAAAAAAGGGGCAACTGATGTCATCTACCAAGACTAATGCAAAGCCTTTGATGTGGTCCTGCACTGTATCCTCATCTCTAAATTGGAGATAGATAGATCTGAAGGCTTTAGGTGGATAAAGACTTAGTTGGATGGTCACAGCCAGAGGGTTGCTGTTAATGACCCTACGTGTAGGTGGAGGATGGTCACAAGTGGTTCTCCCCAGGGTCCATCTTGGGACTGGTGCTCTTCAACATTTTTATCAATGATGTAGACAGCATGATGAAGTGTACCCTCAGCAAGTTTGCTGATGACACCATGCGCTGAGTGGTGCATTTTTCACAATAGAAGGGAGGGACGCCATCCAGAGGAACCTGGTAAGGCTTGAAAAGTGAGTACACAGGAATCTAATGAGGTTTATCAAGGCTAAGCTCAAGGTGTTGCACAGGGGTTGAGGCAATCCCAGACATGAGTACGGACTGGAAGAACTCATTGGGAGCAGCACTAAAGAAAAGGACTTGAGGGTCCTGATGGATGAAAAGTTGTACGTGAGCCACCAGTGTTCTTTTACAGCCTGGAGAGCCAACTGTGTCCTAATCTGCATCAAAAGAGGGGTGGCCAGCAGGGAGGTGGAGGTGATTGTCCCTTGCTGCTCTGTCCTTGTAAGAGTCTATCTGGAGTACTGTACTTAAGCCTGGGCCTCCCAGTACAGGAAGAATGCAGAGCTGTTGGAGTGGGTTTAGAGAAGGGCTATGAAAATGTCAGAGTGCTGGAGTACTGCTTCTGTAATGAGAGGCTGGGGGAACTGGACTGACTTAGCTTGGAAAAGAGAGGGCTCTGAGGAGACCTCATTGTGACTTTCCAATGCTTGAAGGGATCTTACAGGCAGGAGGGGAATGGACTTCTTACATGGTCTGTTAGTGAAAGGACAAAGGGGAATGGCTTTAAACTAAGAGGGGGGAGGCTTAGGTTAGCGTTAGGGAGAAATTCTTAATTCAGAGGGTTGAGACACTGGCACAGACCACCCGGAGAGGTTGTGAGCCTCCTATCCTTTGGAGGCACTTAAGGCTGGGTTGAATGGGTTCCTAGACAGCTTGATCTAATAGTTGGTGATCCACTGGAGCCTCCTATGAGGTTCTATTAAAGCTATGTGTTCTGGGTTATCTGTTCTGAATGTGAATCCCTTGAGTGCTGCAGTTCTGGAGGCTTCATGAATGACTCCAAGAGAGAAGACCTTCTTTCCAAGGGAGCATCTCAATGTGTGGAGCTAAGGTAGGAATGGGTGTTCTGGATAGCAGGTAGGGAAAAATAAGAGTTCTCTCAGGAGAGCTGTAGTTGGTATAGCACTCTTCTTCTTGCTTATGCTGTTCTGAGTACAGTTTTCAGCCCTCTGCTGATGTAATTAAATTTTCCTGTATACCTTTTCTGCAGGGCAGGAATTGTCCTATTTATTTTGTGGTTCTGGCAAAATCAATTTTGTTACAATTCCCCCTCACACTTGCGTAGCTTACTATGCTGACCAGTCAGCAGCTCTGCAGAAAGCGTCATAGCAATGCTGCCTCTCCAGTTCTGCCAGCCTGTGTGGCTGCCCAGTATAGCTTCTGAGATACTGGCCCCACTGAGCTTTTCCACATTCTTCATCATTCACCAAGCAGACCTTGGAACAGATGAGGTACAGCAGCAGAGGACTTGTTCTGGAGATTGTTGTATACATTTTGCCAGGATAGGAGGGAACGGAAAGCTGGGTCATTATGTATTTCAAAAAAAGGAGAAGAAAAGATTGAAACTTCCTTCTTCTAAAAAGCCCTGAAGCTCAGGAGCTGCTTTACTCTGTCCTCCTTCTTCCACTTTGTGAAAATTATACCAGTCCAACAAGCTCTGCTACTTACTCACCCTTTACTTCCTGGAAAACAAAGATGTAGAACTGGAAAGGAGCTTATGAGTTAATGAGTCTAGGCTCTCTTGCCTCAGCAAGCACGTTGCTTGGTCCCTTTCTTAAACTTATCATATTTCTTCTAAAAGTTCTGTTTGGTTGTGGTTTCTTTTTTAGTTTTTTCTTCTTTTTTTTATTACTTTTTTTTGGATCCTGAATCCTACATCTTGTGTTCAGTACTGTTCGTGTAGCTTGTAGACCAAGAGTGCTCGCCAGTTACATGAAAAGTCTATCAGCCTTTGCCAGGAGCTCTTTGACCATGCCCAGCTTAACCTGGTGCTCAGGTGCTCCTTGCTCCTTGTACCTTCCACTGGGCTGGGTTGGCTCCCTGCCTGACCTGATTCCTTTATGGCTCTCTCTAGTGTCTTTACATTCGTAGCTGTCTGCTCTAAGAGGCTGCTACTTGGTTCAGACAAACCTGGTGCACAGGATAATAGGCATGTAAGAAGGTGTGGAAATGTCTTTAGGGAGGAGAGTAGCATAAGAGAGCTTCACAAAAGGAGTGGTGTTTGCAGGAGACCGAGGTACTTGGAATGTGGGAGGCGGCTTTACCTATTAGACAGGGTCTGGGTGGGATGTATGGGGCCAAAATGAGACCAAAAAATGGGAAAGGAGTAGGAAACTGGAGCTCAAGTAGAATAATATAGGAGGTGTAATTGGGTGTAACACTGAGCCTTGAGAAACAGAGGACGGGCTGTCATTTATCAGGAAATGGCAAGAAATAATGCAGAAGGAGGGTGGCATAGGAAAAATCAGTAGGAAAGGAACAGGGTTTTGGCAGTTTAATTGGTGTGTTCTTTCATTGAAAAACACATTGCTGCTGTACAGAAAACTGTGTTTGTGTTATGGGGCAGGTATGGGATGACTGTGCGCCGTGCAATGCAGAAGTGTAAACTTCTCTCTCTTTGTATAAAAGCTCCAAGGATATCCCAAACACAAGACCCTGGATTTCAGATTTCTCTGTTTAGTCTGTGTGCTATAATTTAATCTAATATGACAAAATATTTGTAAGCACACATTTGTTTTGTCATGTGTATGTTTTACTTCTTATTTAAAACAGAATTAGCATTTCATATGTGATATTCTCTCTTTAAAAGAAAGGGGGGGGGGAAGAAGACTGCTATCCAATGCTGGTCTAGTCATTTGCTAATCTGCTCTGATCAAGTTTTATGACCTGGGATCATGCTAATCCCCAGTGGTCATGTAGTTACTATAGTTTCACCGATAGAGCAAGGATTGCGTGCTGCAAGGCAATGCAGCACCAGTTCATAGCTGGGGTAATTCTGGATGTGGGCACGGACCACATGTAGACCCCTCTGTACCTGGATGCAGTAAGCAGCACATCTCTACCACTCATTCCTCTTGTTCTGCTCTGCTTGCATGCTACTCAGAGATGTTTTGTTGTGCTTCTGGATTTTCAGTGACTTTGGAGTTTAAAGTTGTATGTTGGGGAAAAAAAAGAAAAGAAAATTTGTACAGATCTTGTGTCCTACTTCATAAAAAGTGGTTTTGTTGTTGTCTTGCAGATAAGTAATCCTCCTAGGACAAAGGTTACAGTAAGTTTTATGGACTCAGTGGATGAACTTTGGGTGTGGGTATCAATAGTGCTGTGCTGTTTTAAAGACGTTTTTCTTCCCAGTTGATCTCTGCATCCCTCAGTTGTCACCATGTGTCAGATAGGAATGAAAACTATTTTTACTTCATAAATCCCAGTGACTCTTAGGAGAGGGGGTGCTACCATGTTAGTTTGTTTGGGGCAAAAATTGGGGCAAAGCAAGATAAAGCATCAAAGATTCCTATCTGTATGGCTTATCTGCTAAGAGATATGCTGTAAGTCTGTTTTATGCTCACAAAAAGGAAAACTCCATCAAAAAGTGTGGTATTGCTTACGTAAATGCTGCCCCGGCTCTGCCTATGACAAACTGGTGTTTATTAGAAACCTATGCAGCCTCAAGAGTTGGGTTTATGTGACATTGATTTTTTGACCCATTGCTGTAAATTGCATGTAAATTTAAATTCATTGATTCAAATTGCACTGGGATTATAAGTGTTATTAATTGGTGCACAATTTCCTCAAATGCCTTCACCCTCAGGAGAAGCTGCAGATGCCGGGTGGGATGTTGTTACATGCACGTTTCCATTTCAGCCCTGTGTAGGGCCCTACAGAGGGGCAGGATGCGGCCATACCTCCCCACTGCATTGCTTTGTGACCAGAGGAGTTGGCTCCAGAAGCATCAGCCTATGTTAAGCATCTTTCATCAGCTTTGACTTTGCTAATGGCATTGATTTGCTTTAAATACTTCTGCCATTTCAGATTCTCAGTCCCTTGTCAATGGAATGGGATGTGCCTCCTTTTGAATCTGAGATGTAGAAACCTTCCTGTTCACTTGCCAGACAAGCTCTACTTTGGGTGTAGAAAATACAGTTATGTATCCCCAGCAGACTGTCTCCTCTCTCTTGCGTATCATATCCCTTCTCAACCTGGAGGTAAAAGCCAAGATGTCACAAAGTAGGCAGCTGCTTCTTCCTAAAACACTTATGAGTCAATTCCCAGTGGGCATGAAGATGAAGATAACCCAGAGTGCTTGCAGGGACAGGCTCCATTCGTCACCTAGCAGTTTCTTGCTTGTCTGTTTTAACCCTCTCTGACACTTTTCATCAGTCTTACCATTTCCAAGTCTTGTCAGCCAGGAAGGCTGGCTTGCCCACCAGGTGTGGCAGGAAACTGGGGTCCAGGAACATCTGACCTGAATCTTAAACTGGCATGCATTGAAGGTGTTTGTGAGCTTCTATTTTACTGAATAACTGCAGCTCTTCTGTTGCTATGAAAGCAGCTACTGACACTGCGTGTTAGATATCTGGCAGTTCATGGGCTGATATCTCTGTATGTTGCCACTCCTGATGATGTGGCGTTTCCTATCAGTAACAATTACACAACACTAACTGTGAATTAGAGATAATTGCTGAATTATTTTGAATATCTTGGGGAAAAGCTCTATAATTGTCTAAGATGCAACAGATGTATGTTGTCTGCCTAAACAAGAAAGGACTTGATACAGAAATCTCTCCAATCTGAATACAGCACTTTCTTTACTACAGGTAAATGAAAATGGCATACTGACTGATGGAGAAGAAACAACTGCAAGTTGGAGTATTTATTCATTGTGTGCCCATGTGTAGCCTTAAGAGCAAAAGCCTATTTATAGAGGATTAATATCATAATCTTTGTTCTTTTGTTTTAACGTCTTGTAGCTGAACTGTCTTCTGGAGAGAATGAAAAGAATGGAGTGGAAGTGTGGAAAGAGTGGAAAAGGCTGGATTGTGCTCAATCATGAAGCAGCACCAGGCTGATATAGGATGCCACTGCCTATTATATCTCTGGGCAGCACCAGTCTGAGGGTGTTGAGGTGAGCTACAGTTTGCTTCATTTCATGAGGTTTTAAGGATTCTGGTTTTATGACTGTATTCTATCCATGGAAAATTCTCTGAGGTTGCTCATAGTTCTCATACTTATTTTCCCTGTGAACTCATGTTGTCAAACCCACCCAAATAATTAAATAGAAAAAAGCCTTTTTTTTTTTTTCTTTTTCCCTGCTATTTTTTCCTTTATATTTGAGGTTTATGGAGGTGCTCATGCTTTTCAATTATTTGCCTTAACCCGCAAAAACTAGAGATGTATTTGTTTAGAAACAGCCCCCCATCTGCTCCCCCATTCTCCAGATGAGAGCTGAGTGGCTCACCTCATCTTCTGGGTGGAAGGTTTTAAGAAACTCTTGCAGTGACGTGCGAAGTACTAAAGCAGGCTAACCAAACTGCAATTTATGTTCAAGAACACATCTTCTTTTGTGTGATGGCCTGGACGAGCAATAATGCCAATGTCTTGTGAAGACTGCAAACTGTTTTAAAAGAATTCTTACATTAAATTAAGTAGAAGCAGGAATGTTTTTCAGACTTTTTTTTTTAAATCTCACATTGCGTTATTACTGTCTCTGAATAGCTATTGTGCGCAAAAACTGAACTAAAAGCTTTGTGGTTTCTTCCAGTGTTTCACTTAACTCTTGATTAAGTAGTCACTGGTGTTTTTTTTAGGTCCTCCTGTAATTTGATGTCCTTCACTAATGCTCTCAGAAAGCCATGTATAAACAGAGCAAGTGCACTTTATGCCTATTCATTGTTTATTGCTGAAGAGGCCTAATTTTTTCCTGGCGTTTATTTTGAAGTAAGAGTTACTGTGCTCAACAGAGTAATTGGGCATAAAAGAAAAAAAATAATCTCAAGAGCAAGTGAAGTAGAAAAATTAGGACATCATTTCTCCAACTCTTCTACCTTAGGCATAAGCCCGAAGGTACATTCACGTTTAAACTTAATAGGTTATATGTTTGTGAATGTGCATAATAAATCAGTTATTCAAATGAAAAGTCAAATGGCAGCGGTTTGGAGCTCTGCATTCCCCCAGATTTTTCAATTTCATTGTTCTATTTCATTGTTTTCAATGCCAGCATCTTTGGAATATATTGCAATGTGACCTTGGATATTTTATGAAATAAGCCGTATATGAGCATGTCATTCCAAAATAAAATCCACTTATTTGCCACAGAAGGAAGGAGGTGAGCTAGAGATTTGTAATATCAGTACATTGTGCTAAGGGAAATTATAAAAGTGAATCACTTATTTAAGGCTGTCTACTCTGTTGTTATTATTTCAGAAAGAAACATAGTAAGATTATGCCAAAGCCACTCCTGTTTATACAGAAAAAGGATTGTTTTGTGCCTTATTTTTTTTGTAAAGATTGAAGGCTTATCCACAAAATAGTAAGTATACATTGTTGCCCACTACTATATGTTGCACAGTAATTTGATTTTTCTATGATTTAATTTGTTTGGAGATTGAAAGACTTAACATATATATACTGCTTGGAAACAAAACAAAATATTTTAAACCCCAAGATGTTTGCTGTAGCTAGTATATTCTTTTTCTGTGCATGGGAGCTTGGTTGCTGGTATAGCTCTGCTAACATCACCTCTCTGTAAGCTGTGATTTCCTAGATCATACAATTTACATCAGAGTAGCTTACTCAGTTGACAAGTGTGGTTCTTTTCTAATTGGTGATAGTGATTTTTGCCCTGGAAAATGCTCTCATTTTTCAGTAGTGGATACTGCTAAAAGGAAGAGAGGGAGACACGTATTTAGACTGGCTAATGTATCTCTTCAGACTAAACAGAGACTTACAGAAAATAGTGAATCTGACAGAAGTTCGTAAATAGCCTATCTACCCTCTCCTACCACCTGTCCCAAGTTAGAGAGAGTAAGTTGTCTTGGGGGAGGGCAACAGGGAAGCATGGAATATGGGAAGAGACAAGAGAATTGTGTCTGAATATAAGTAACTTTCTGACACTACATACATCTACCTTAAAAAAAAAAAAAAAAAGTCACACATCAACATCTAACAAGCTATCCATCAAAGTGAGGTATAAGAAATAAAAGAAGTGTGTAGTAAAAGGTAATCACAATTTACAAAGAGTCTACTGTGTGGGAGGGTGAAGGAAGAAAAAACTCTGGAGGTGAGTATTGTGATTCATTTTGCAATAATTAATATGAAAGAGTCTTAATCAGTTATAAAACATAACCAAATTAATTAAATAACAATTGACATAAATTAACTGTACGTACTTGCACTTTTTATCTATTTTACTCCTGAGAGTTTTTTATGAGCATCTACAAGATACAGGGATCTTTTGCTAATTAATTAACCAGTTGTGGTCCTGTTCTGCAATGCTGTGTAGCAAACTATAACTATTAGACTCTGGCCAAGCCATGCCCTGGCATTATCACTTATTTTTTTCATTGGTCTGCTATGGAAATCTTCCCTTATGAGTCCTGATCTGCTGTTAAGATCATCCTGAGTACTCACTTTTGTCTGCTGAGGGCATACTGTCTGGAACAAAAAATATTCAGCCTCTCTCATAGCATTAGATTGAGATCAAATTGCTTAGTGGTAAAGTTTTCCAAAAAAGAATAGCAGATATTTGCAGGACAGCAGCTTACTGCTTTTTGCCAGCAGCATCTCACTAGTCTTCACAGATGAAGTGTAGAGTGTGGCATTGCATACCAAAGAGGATGGTGGGACTTAAGGCAAATTGGAGAATGGTTAAGGGCTCTTGACTATGTCACCCTTTTCTGGAGCTCAGAAATGATGCTACTCACCAACTGCAAGCAGAGGAGGGTGGCCCAAAGGGAGCATAACATGCAGCGCATGCAGCCACATCAGCCTGCATGTTTGGCAGTCGTCTATAAAAGGGAGTAAGTCCAGAATGCAGCACAATGGTAGTAGTAAACACAAGTGGTAAAGTAAGACCTTTGCTTTAGAATGGTGGGATGAAATCTTACTCTGTTGGATCCAGAATATCATCTATTAGCTGCAGAGATCATCTGCTTCTGGAGAATCAGGTACTTAAGCAGGAAATGAGGAGAATTTGAGAGTGGTAGGTAGTATCTTGTGGTCAATTCCCCATCTTCAGATTGTCAAGGTGCTCCTTCCATTTCATCACAAATGTCTCTACTCCGCAGTCTGAAAATGTGTAGCCTGCTGATTTCCTGTAATGCCATCAATCATGGTAGGTTTTCTTGGAAACAATTGTGCTTTCATGTTTTAAGTCACCAGTTGTTGTTAAGGTATGCAAAAGATATGGGAATGTTGCTGGGAGTTGGGCAAGACCATGAGGAAAGAGAGGAACTTCCATTTGAAACTGCACTGCTGTGAGGGGCTCTGAAGCACAGCAGGCACGTTGCAGGACTAGGTCATAAGTTTTTTCTCAACTGTTCTGTAGTTAGATGAACTGTTACTGTGTGGAGAAAGTTCAAATCTCAGCACCCTCTTAGTCCTAAATGCATGCTTCTCCCTGTCATTCTGCCATGGCTTTCATAGGAGAAGGTCAAAGTGCAGGTACGAGTGTGGTGTGTGCTGTGCTTGGCATTGCCACATGAGACAGGCATCTGCAGTCTGTTTGTCCTGCATCACGGTTCAAATCTGTGATGCTTTCTGCATCCCCCTTTGCTCTTGGATTTTTTTTTTTCCATAAAGTTATCTAAAGAGCTCCTGTGAAATCAAGTTCAGTGTAGATTGTGGGTTTTGCTCTCCTCCACTCCTATTGCTGACTGCTCCAGCAGTTCTGATCAAATTCCAAGTTTGCTGTAGCTAAGACGCTTTATCAAGGGAAAACATGCTGTATGCAAAGCAAGTTGAAGTGCCCTCTTAAGAAATGAGGTTTGACTTTCTGTGATATCAAAAAGAGCATTAAACCAGAATTTAATCCATCCTGGGAAATCATATTTCACAATCTAATGCCTGTAGCCCTTTTCCTTTTGATATGAGGATCAGAATTTTGATCTCTCTCGTGGTTTGCCTAAACATTTTCTGTTAAATGACAGCAAGTTAATAAGTACAAAATAGTGGGTGGTTAAGTACCGTTTAGCAGGCCAGCGCTTTGCCTAAATGGGAAAGCTCTTTGTATAAGATAAGGAGTAAATTGGAAACAGTGGAATTAAATAGTGTAGCCGCATCTTGTAGACACTCCTGTTTTGGTATTAAATGAGCTAGGGTTATTTCAGTTTACAACTTACAAAGACTTTTAAACTCAGCAGTGAGTCTTATCCTGGAACAAAGGTCTATCCACATGAGTAAGTTTCATGAATGCATCTCTCGCTGCTCTTAGTGAAAAGAAAAAAGCCCACATATGCTACTTGTGAAGTGTCTCCTTCGATAACATGTGATAATGTGGAACAATGGAGTGGGCAAGCTCGATAAGAATTTCCAGTAGCTTTGTGCTGAGGGAAAGGAGCTATGATAGCTGTGCGGAGAGCAGTTTGTTGTAGACTGATGAAATGACAGCTTTTGTGACATGATGAGAGGGGAGCTGATACCTGAGTCAGTAATGGACTGCCAAAGCCAGGGTAGAATTATCATGCTGGAACACTGTTGTGAAAGCTGTTGTAAGCATCATGTGCTCCTCTTGGGTGTCATGGTAAAGACGGTAGTAAGGCAGTGTCAGACAGAGGTGATGTTAGGATAAATACTAGTATGGCTGTGCCTAAGGATCTTCTGAAATGCCAGTAAAAGTAGAAACGTGAAGAAGCTTATAGTTACCCTTTTAAGGAGAGTATGGTATCTCCTGCAGTTAGACTCTACATCACCCTTCCTCCATTGTTAGATGATCATGGAGTGATCATAATTGCATACCCTTAGTGTGGATATAAGCCATGCAAACTTAGAGAAATTTTAAAGCCTTTTGAATGTTTTCTTTAAGGAGAAACAATAATGAATCATAGAATTCTTAGAGTTAGAAGGGACTTTTAGAGTTCATCTAGTATGACTCCCTTGAAACAAACAGGGACATCCACAGCTCGACCAGACTGCCCAGGGCCTGATCCAGCCTCACCTTGAAAGACTTCAGAGATGGGGTATCAACATCATCTCTGGCCAACCTGTTACAGTACCTCACCATCTTCTCTGTAGAACTCATACTACACAAATCACCACTCTTTAAGTTTGAATCTTATCACAACAGACCTTACTAAAGAGCCTGTCCCCTTCTTTCCTGTATCTTCCTATTAGATACTTCAGATACTATCAGGTCACCTTGGATCCTTTTTTTTTCCAGTCTGACCAGCCCCAGCTCTTTCAGCCTAATCCTCATAGGAGAGGTGTTCCACCCCTTTGCTCATTTTTGTTGTCCTCCTCTGGATGCACTCTACACAGGCCCATGTCTCTCCAGTACTTAGGACTCCACATCTGGATGCAGTACTCCAGGTGAGGTCTCACCAGTGCAGAGCAGAGGGGCAGGGTCATCTCTTTCAACTTGCTGGCCATGCTGCGTTTGGTGTAGCCTAGGATCTGGTTGGCTTTCTGGGCTGTGAGGGCACGTTGCTGGCTCATGTCCAGCTTTCTATCCACTAGTACCCCCAGGTTCTTTTCAATGTCAGGACTGTGCTCCACCCTTTTATTGCCCAGCTTGTATTCATAGTGGGGGTTGCTACAACCCAGGTGCAAGATCTTGCATTTGGATTTTTTGGGCATAATGATATTCTTCTGCACCCAAGCCTGCTCAAGTTTGTCTAGGTCCCTCTGAATGTGTTGACTGCAACCTGCAGCTTGCTGTCATCAGCAAACTTGCTGAAGGGTGCACTCAACCCCCTCTGCTGATGTCAGTGATGAAGATATTAAAGAGTACTGGTCCTAGCACTGAACCCTATGGGAGACCACTTGTTACTGCTCTCCATCCAGGCATTGAACCATTGACTGCCAGCCACTCTATGGACTTGATCCTGCAGCCAGTTCTTTGTCCTTTGAACAGTCCACCCATCAAATTCATATCCCTCCAATTTGGAGAGAAGGGTGATGTGGGGTACCTTATCAGAGGTCTTACTGAAGTCCAGATAGATGACATCAGTGGCTCTTCCCTTGTTCTTTAGTGGCACCATGATAAAAAAGCTGCTAGGTTGGTCAAGCAGGATTTGTCCTCGTGAGGCCATGCTGGTTCACGAACTGGGGGTATATCTTGAGTTCAGGCACTTAATAAACAATACCTATAAGTCCTGAATATTGATAGTACTAATCAGCAGAATAAAGTGTCTTGGCTCACTGTTCTTCTTTCTAGATCAGCCTGTTCTCTAGAGGTCTCTGTCAGATGTTTCTCCAAAGTATTGCCACAAATCCTTCCCCCTCTGTTGCAAATTGATTACCATGCTTTTCTGGTCAACTCTTATACATGCAAGGCTCCAGCAGACA